ATACGGCCGGGCCGATTGGTTCCGGGCGGGGCAATTGAGGCGCAGTAAAAAGTGCGTACAAATAGTGAAAAATGTGCGTACACCTAGTGGAGCTCTTCTTATTTCTGAGCAGAGACCATCGAGAAAGTCTCTCTCGACTTCATCCGTGATAATGCCGAAGGCCTTGTGAAAACGTCGCCAATTGAGTATATTAGGAACGCAAAGCTTTGCGGAAACCTCTTCGAACCAGAGGACTCGACTGGGCTTGTTTCCGGGGTCAATACTATGTTTTTTGTTGATCATGATGAGCCGCTGCATGCTTTGCAAGCCGTCCGCGAGACCTGGGATTGGCGACTCGGGGACCTGCCGGATGGCTATGAGTACCTTCTTGTTTTGCCAGCTAAACGCCGCCGGTCTGGATCTCGCTCATTCCCTAAACCGGTCAGGGGGTCTAATTAGTTACCAAGTGCCTATATCACACAAACCTCGTTAGCTGATCGATTCCTCTGAAGCTAGAAGTCCTTCCTAGGGTGCTCTACTCAAGGGATATTTCCAGACACCACCCTGTTGCAGATTGTATGTACATACCTGACAGCACAAGTTACCAAAAGCATACATGCCGGTCTCCAGAATCAAAAACTGGTGCCGCTACTTTTTCAATACTCCCATCACTTTCTGGAAAGCATTCCACACTCCACACTCTTGGCAATGTCCCCGAGCCACGGTATCCGGCTCTCACAACTTGCTTTAGGCGGCCAACAGCTCGCTAGCCAACCCCTCACCGTCGTGATAACAACCCTGCCAGGTTTAACCGCAACAAGCGAGAGGAATAGCCTCTGGACCCATTTGAGGTGTTGGCGGGATGACGATCCAAGCGATTTAGATTCTGGTTTAGCCGTGGACTCGCTGAGTACAACAGACAATGGGAAAATGGGGTTTTATGTAACATAGAAACCTACTTTGCTCCTAATTCTTGCCGTTTCAGCAGCTAGTTTGAAATAGTAGACAGTACCCTAGTTGACTCAAGCTTCTCCTTCCTTCCAAAATATTTAGATGACTCTGTCCTAAAACATCACATTCCCGCTGGTAGCGGTCCTCCATCAAGGCCACGGCCTCACCTCGCCGGAACAAGGAATGCCAGCAAAGAGCAGGATAATACAAACCTTTGAGAGGTTCGGGATGCCCATCGCCAAGCGTCTTCTTGCGAAGCTTGTATGCTCTCTCATACAATCTCCCTCCACCTCCCCAACTCGTACAAACACGTCGACATTTTGGTTAAAAGCCCTGCGGCCTCCTCCTCCCCTTCACATATTTCTGTCCACTCACACACTTGATGTGCATGTTCAAGGTATTTCTCCCATAGGCTCTACAACTCAAGGAAGGCTTGAACAATAGGTGTCCCATAGCCTGGAGTGCCGCCCTGGAGAAAAATGCCATGTCCTCTTTCTGGCCCCCTCTCGTGCTGAGATTATACCGCGCAGCCTCTTGTACCAGCTTGTGCATCTCATAGGCCTGGCTCTCCGCTTTTGACACACGTTGGCTTAGGAATGAAAACTGTCGAAGCAGGGTGATTGCCTGTATGGCATTGGCATCTCCATCTTTGTTCCCACATGCTCTGTCCCTCGGCTTAGTACAAAATGCGGTGAGTCTTCTGAGCCTCTCGATCGGGGTTCTCGGTTTCCCGCTGAATATGGCTGCCTGGGCGATCATCTCGAACGGTATGTTTTGGTTATCCAGAAAGGCCAGGGTATGCAAGATATTATATGCCGTCTTGTCCGCCTGCCGAATAAGCTCGATGGAGATGTTCCACGTCTCCAGTACGCTGTTTGAGACGTGAGGCCTTCGATGCCGGTCAAACTCCGACGTCTGAAGAACCTCCCATCTTTTTGTGCAGTTTTTCAACTCGGACAGATATTTCTCGATCGGTTTCGACGTTCTCAGCATATATGTCCCAGCCTGCGATATGGCGAGTGGCAGCCGCCCAAGTTCGTTGAGCAGCACCATAGCGTCTTCCTCCTCCTCGTCGCCGATCTTTTCGTTTCGCGCAGTCTCGAGCAGCATCTTGGCCTCGTCCGCGGTCATGCACGCTACCTCGATCGCCCGCCGAGCCCCGACAAGACTGCCGGCAATCCGCTTGTCACGACTCGTCCATAACACCGTCCCACCGGGCCCCCGCGGAACAAATCTGTCGAGGCTGGGCCGTTGCCCTCTCCTCTGGACCAGAGATCCTGTCTGACCGACGCCAAACAGGCCAAGGTTGTCCGCATTGTCGAGGACAAGGACCCAACACGGGTCGCTCTCGATCCGCGCGCGAACCGCCGTCAGCAGCTCCTCATCGTCCAGAGCATTCGGCAGGCCTAGCTTCTTCGCAATCAACTTGTAGTCCTGAGCAAACGCGGCCTCGTTGTCGGCGTGTACCCAGAAAACGGAGCAGGCCACGTCATTAGATCGGCGGTAAGCGTATTGGAGGGCGATCTGGGTTTTACTTCTGCTTGTAAGTTTGCGGGGGCGCGTTGACTAGCAAGAAACGATAGAGAGGAAGACTCACCCAGACCCGCCCAGGCCCCAGAGTGCGGCGCTCTGGTAGTCCGGGCCAGGGAGAAACAGCCTCTCGAGGTCCAGCAAGAGGTCGAGGCGGTCAATCACGTCCTCGTTGCGGGGGAAGGGTATTACGCGGCAGGGCGGGGGACGGGCAGCGCATGGCTGTGATCGAGAGCCGTAATTGTAGACATTTCCGACATGGACAGCCGCTTGGTCTTGAGAGATTATTTTTCCGGCGTTGTTCCTGGTTGATGTCGGCTGTTCTGCGGGGCTCACGGGGTCATCGGGTTTAACCAACTGCTGGTTCGGCATTAGGTTGAAATTTCACTCTTTGTTCAAGGACGAGCGAGCCCTCAGAGACGAAAACTGGGGTCACGGCTACACATGGACCCGTAGAAGAAAGAGTCGAATGATACTCATGATGGGCAAAGGCAATCCGATAAAGTGATGTTGAAATGGTGCAATTACCCTGCGATTTCGATGGATTGCGACGGCCTACTCGCTGGCGAATCAGCCTGTTTCGTTACGCGCCTTGGTGTTTCAGCTCGATGTGGGGGCTTGCGTATCAATGTCGTCTCTGTCCGCCTTCCAGACTCGCAATTGTTTTCGAAGATGGCTGAGGTGGCCGGCCTCGTCACCGGCCTTGCCGGCCTCGTCAGCAACTGTGTCGACTGCCTTGAGTACATCCGACTTGGCCGCAATTTCGGACGTGACTACCAGACGTGCCAACTGAGGCTGGACGTTGCCAAGACACGCCTGGGAAGATGGGGCGAGGGCATCAAGGTCAATCAGGATTTTCCTTCCGTCACAGAGTCATCGCCGTCGGGCGACCAGCGGTTCCAGCTTGCCCGATCGATCCTGGAACAAATAATGCTCCTTTTCGAGTCTACTCAGAAGACGTCTCAGCGATACGAGAGTGTTGCAGAGCAGCGCGATTTGGTGCTGTTCGACGAAGACGAGATGAAACCCATCTTCCGAGGCCTGCATAACCGACTGAAGTCTCTTGCCCGCCGGAGGCAAAAGAACACAAGCTTGTGTAAGAAGACGGCGTGCGCGCTGTATGATGCGAAGAGCTTTGACAGGCTTCTGGACAACATCACCGCCTTGGTTGAGGAGCTGGAAAAATTATTTCCGGTAGATGTCGATTGTCGCAGACTGGCCCAGTCTGAGATCGAGGGTGTCGAGGACGAACAGAGCTTGACAGCATTGCGAGATGCGGCTGATGGCGTTGACAAGACCTTGTCCGAGGCGGTTAGTCAGAAGATTGCGACAATTCCGGGAAGGAACTACGCCAAGGACGTCAAGACCGAAGACCGTGCGAGAGTTCAAGTGGGCCATCAGTTCAATGAGATTCTGGGGCTTATCGGTACAGAACAGACCACAAATTCAGTAGAGACCGTGGTGGCCAAGGGCGAGTCTAGGATACAGATTGGGAGCAGGTTTGGTGGCCGGGGGATCTTTGATGATTAATTCGCATCTTTACAATGTGCTAGCTCAGTCTACTTATCTGATATTACCCCAGCCGTTTACCAGCGCCCTTCTTTCTAGAAATTACTGACAGAAATCAAGTCTCAAAGTCTATCACCACAACATCAACGCTCACTCACACCTTAACAGCCCACCCACCCCCCAACCTCCTCCCCTTCACCACCCTCGCCGCAACAAGAAACCCCGTCCCGACCAGCAGGGCTGCCCCTGCAAACCCCTGCGCACCAACATAGCTCCCCCCCGCCGCCGTGACCAGCCTCCCGGCGATAGGCGGCCCCGCCAGCACAGCAAAGCTATTGATCGTAAATACCATCCCCATTCGCACCCCCGCACGCCGGAGGTCCGGCGTCAAGCTACTCAGCCCCGCGGGGAAGAGCGACTGGATGCCTCCGCCCACGATGCCGTAGAAGACGGTCCAGACGTACATCCCCGCCACGTCGCGGACCGCCAACCAGCAGAAGACGCACACGCCCGCCACCATGGCCGTGGGGATAAACACGTTGATGGGGCCGACGCGGTCGGCTAGGAGGTTTGGCCCCAGGCGGCCCAGGATGCCCATGCCGTTGATGACGAGGATCAGGTTGAGGCTGTCGGTGTAGGACATGCCGATGATGTCGCGGCTGAAGGAGGCGAGGTAGTAGAAGGCGAAGTAGACGCCTAGGAATATCTGTTTTTGTTGTTGCTGTCAGAAAGCGAGGAAAGGGGCGGAAGGGCGGAGAAAGAAAGGGGTACACTCACAAAGAAGCTCCCAGCAGCGTAGAAGGTATACTCCAGCTCCCTGAACGCAGCCCACTCGACCAGGGGCCCGGTGCGGCGTGGCGGGATCCGGGGCCTGAGGAACGTGTTAGCGACCACGAGGCTGGCCAGCTGGACGAACCCGATGGCCCTCATGGTCCAGGGAAACCCGGCCGACGGCAGCAGCTGGCGGGCCATGCTGGGGAAGACGAGCCCGCCCGTGGCGCTGCCGGTGGCGACGAGGCCCATGGCGAAGTAGCGCCGGCGCGCAAAGTACGTCGACACCACCGTCATGGTCGGCGCGAAGAGGCAGCCGTTGCCGAGGCCCATGCACACCCCCTGCGACAGCAGAATCTGCCAGTACGACGTCGCGCTCGCCGTCGCGAAGATACCCAGCACCTGGAACGCAGAGCCCAGGAAGAAGACCTGCCGGAAGTAGCCCGCGTCCGTCGCCCGGCCCGTGGCGGTGCCCACGAAGAAAAGCAGGAACACCTGGATCGAACCGATCCATGATATGTCCGACGGGGAGTGCGATAGTGCCGTTGTGTAGTAGGTCTGGAAGATGCCGAACGAATTGATGAATCCCCTGGGAGGTTGGATTAGTTCTCTTTGCCTCTTCTGAGTTTCCGTTAGGGGTCCTTTTTACCATGTGTTCATGACGACAAGGTGAGAACTGGCAACTTTATAAGGTGAATGGCTGTCAGCCCAAGCTACATCAACATGGCCTCTTTTATACCGGGAGACTTGGGGACTTGCCAGTTATCCATGCCTTCAACCCTCCGTCTGGTGGAGGTCCTAAATTCGACTTGACACTTGCTCTGCTCACCACCCGACTCACGACTCGAGACACGACGTTTGAAGCTTGACCATTCGGTCCATTGTCTTGGTCCAGGTCCAGGAAATCGGAGTCGTCTACCGGGATACCAAGTGCCGCTTCGACGTTGGTGGGGTCATCATGCCTTCTCCTTTCCTCCCGGCACTTCTCCGGACAGCTTGCGGGGGCATTATTACCATCTATCGAGCGAGAAGATCGGCTCCCTTTCTCGACATCGCTCGACTGGTCGCCTACACTTGTGCCTGGCGAGGCCTTCGTCATATTCGTAAATCTGGGAATCCAGATTCCTCCAAGTGGGAGCAAATGTGACTGCGAGTTCTGCGTTGTTCACCGTGGCCCATGAAGAATAAATCCAGCGAAGATAAACTGGTGTCCAGAAGAGCCAATCCTTGGTGCAGGGGGTAGTCACTACTCTAAAGGCTGGCGAGCAACTTGCGGGATCAAGTCGGAGTCGGGAATGCGAACAAGAGTCATAATTACCAGTCGCACCCGGGCCCGGTCCGGCATCGTTTTCTTCTTTTCATTCCGAACTAAGTGGAGCCCATTATTAAGTTGCCGCAACTTGGCGCTTCAACTTCCAATCCAACTTCCAAGATCTGCACCGGCAGGCATCCCCACATTATTCCCGAGGCCCATGCAACATCGTCAACGGAAGGGCGCAAGAATGGGACGCGGCCAAACCCGCACTTCTCAGCCAATTCGCTTCAACCTTTCCGGGATTTGAATCCGGGGAATGACTGCTGACTCCACAAACAAAGCGTGATCGTTAAAAGCTAAAACGAATTCATCTGGGACTTCGTCCGAGCAAATTTCCCGGACGTGAAGCCTCGAGTCGATATTCCGCTCATTGAGGGTGCAGTTCGCAAGCTGGTGGCAGCCCGAGACATTGAAGGTCTCTGTCCCCGTCGGGACTTCGTCAGTGCCATTCCACTGGAGACGCGTCACCTCGAAGACACAGTCAAATTTACTAGAGTCGCGGTCAACGCTGAATCCATAGCAAATCAAACTGGAAGCATGGGTAGTCTCTCACGGAGCCAACATCGATCTGTGCCGGCTCCATGGTAGATGTATTGCTCGGATTGAACCGGGACATCAAGGGACCTGAGGACGGTTGGTTGGGAGATGCTGCGTCACTTGGGCTGCTAGGTTACAATAGGGAATACGAGAGATTTACTCCTGGACCTCTATAGAGCACCAGATACTAATAGTCTACGACCGGAGCTTCGTTATGCTCCCTTGGTAAGGTATAATTAGCCCTTGAAAATGACCATAAGCTTACAAAGGGTCTCTTAAATCCAAATCACATCTTTGTTCCATCCGCCAAGTTTGTCTTCTGTTTAGCAATTAGCAATAAACCCCTCTGCCCACTGTTGCCATTCCGGCCCTCCAGTTTTCATCCTCCGACTGCGCTGAACGATTGAACCCTCGGCCTCTGCATATACACTCATTCTCTAAAAACATGCACCGGCGACAATACTCCCGAAATGCCAGTATTGGCTGTCCAAGGGTTTAAGATGATGCGCGCCGACCTTTCCAATTCCTCGTGGCTAACGGACTGCCACTCGTTCACTACAACATGGAGGAACCTCTGATGTCAATAGGAGAGGTGGTTACCGCAAAGGAGGAAGAGGAGGTCGTAACGGTGCTCAGGAGCATGGGCATAGACTGTAAAATTAAAATCATAATCCCTGGGTAGAACGCCTTAATCCCTCGCCATGGGTCTACGTTTGCCACAACTGGGTCTTTGTTTACGAGGCAGAGGGTGGTCACCAACCAATTCCGGGTGTCCACAGCAGATGTACGGTAGGTATCTTGCTTGTTGCTATCACTTGACGGGCTACCTCGAAGAAATTCCACCCAGTCCCACGAGATATCGTGGCAGGGAAAGTATACCTTCTATTTGAGCCTTCGTTGCGAAAGTCAAGGCTGGTCCGTGGACCCAAGACGAGGCCAACCCAGTCGTAACTTGCCGTAAGAAGAGGCTGATGATGCCCACATCATCTAGACTCCACGAGTCGTTCCACATGACAGCCACTCTGAACACTATCATGACGCCATAACCAAGGGCCAAGTCATTTTTATTGAAGGCAGCAACACCAAACAAGCCGCGCCTCCATTTGTGATGGCTCGGAGAAGCAACCAAGGGTTTGTGGAAATAATACCGTACTGAAGAACTGCCATAGTCCCCGGCTCGCTCAAGGTTCTGCAGACAACAACGGAACAAAGCCAGGATTGGTTGGTCCGGGAGCCTTCGCCGCCAAGTATGCCTTGCAAAAGACGAGATGACAATTCCGGTGTCCGGAGAAGCGACTTCATCAGTATCCGGGGGTTAACCCGGCCTCAAACTGGATCATCGTGGAACACGGCGCCAGGTTGTTCGGCATTCACAGGTTCGCCATCACTCCCTCCACCAGCTTCGGCCGCCCTCTTTTTCTTCTCTATCTCGGCCACCCACATGGCCGAACCAGCTGTCGAAGTCAGCAGGAAGAAGAAGCTCAGAATGGGAACCAGCTCCAGTATCATGGCGACGGTGCCAAACCACGTGTATTCCCAGGTCCGATCCCGTATTTCCTTCTTTGTCTGCTTTCGGTCCAGGCCCCGTAGTTTATACCAGCGGTGATGAGCCAGCTTCCCGAGCCTCGCGCCGGTGATGATGATAAAGGCGGGCGTGCCGACGTAGGGGACCAGATTGAGAGGAAGGAAGACGATGAGCTCGACGATCTGGATTATGCTCCACGGTGTGTACTCGGCTCGGCTAGTCGGCTTCCCTAGCATCTTGACAGAGTTCGGCGCATCGAGGAAGAGCACTCGGTGCGGGGCGACGAGATCGATCAGGTCGAAGTTGATGAGTGTTGCCTATAAAATAGAGACAGACACAGCTGATTAGCATCCCGTCGCCCGTCGCCATACCTTGACAGAGGCGAGAACAGAAGAGCGGGACCTACATCGAAGATATCTACGCGGATTTCATCCACAAAAAATGCTTCGAACAATCCTTGCGTGATGACGAGGCCCTCGCCCAGAACCAGGACGACGGCGTTGATCCAGGCTCCCCAGCCATGGAAAATAGCCAGGAAGGCAAACTGGGGCAGGAATGCAAAGGTGAAGAGTATGAAATAGACGAGGAAAGATATGATCGATAACGGAAGTAGTCGGCCGACGAACAGCGGGTAGAAGGGCCGACGCCGCAGGAAATACCAAATGCCCCGCAGCGGAAATGCCGCTGCCCTCAGGCCCCTCCGGAGATAATTCGTCGGCCGCTGGATCAAGCTATCGATTGTCTCTAGCACATGGGACGGCATGTTGACTCCTTTGCGGGGGCGGGAACATCACAAGCAGGTGCGCCGAAGGAGGGTTGGGAGATAGGTAGGTAGAAATATGCATGGGGGGTAATTGGGAGACGTCATCCCGTGCACCGCCACAGGATCCAGGCACCGACGATAGCTGCGGCATGAAGTGGCTGGAAGTGATCAGCGCAAACGCGGCCTTCTACCCGTGCCACGCCCCACTTTATTTGGCCCTCGAGAACCACCTAAAATAAAGTGGGGCGGGCACGGGTGTTGGAAGGCCCCGTAATTAGTACAGTCCTGCCCTGCAGTGAAGAGAGTCTTCCACCCATGGTTCTCGGTTAGCACTCCTGCAATGATGGACACAAGAGACGTTGAGCAGGTAAGTGTTGCAACTGTAAACGCAGTGCGGAACCCACGCTCATGCACAGAGGGTCGTTTAAGTCTGTGTCAGACGGTTGAGGAATAAGGATAACCTCATTTCCCTGGAACCATCATTAATTTACTATTTCCTTGACTGGGGAATTGGACTCCCTGGTGCGCTTCATGTCCTTCCAGGGGTCGGTCAGGAATAAGTCTTTGAGGCAATCATCGTCGTTCGGCTTGTTTGACGTTGATGGTACCATTGTTGGTCCCTACTTGCGTCCCGGAGTTTTCTGCCGAGAAGGAAACGGACGACATTATCGCATCTGAAAAATGACAGGGAGCTCACAATGCAGGACAGAAGAGCGTCGGCCACTCGCGAGTATTGAAGTGAGCGAATGAAAACTCTCGAGAGGGGTAGCTGATTGGACATGGACGCATCAACCTTGACGGAGCTGAAATTTACGAAGGCGGTTAATGTCGCGCAATAACAGTCGCGTGTTCACTCCCTCTTAATGAAAATAAGATGTAAGTCATCTGCATATCACGCTGTTTATGAAAGGGGTTGCAGAAGTGGACCAAGGGGTCAAGTGCGTACATTCGTACTGTATTTTGAAGTGAAAGAATTGAAGTAGTCTTGGCCTATTTAAACCCCCGCTGATGTGATAGCCAATATTATCTATTAGGTAGGCAATATGCCAAACCTTTAACACACTAATACACACACACGCCCACATCTCAAGCCAAGACGCAGAACGACAGGGCGAGCGAGAGCAAGCTCGCACCCCAGGCCAGCGGGCCGCCTGCAACGGGGACAGCGTTGGAGACGACGACCACCGCGCTCGTCGTGGCAACGCCGCTGGTCCCATTGGGGTACCCCGTGCCGCCAGTGGAGTGCCGCTGCCGGCCGGGTAGCTGGCGCACTCCATGCTAGTGGGGTAGCCGCCTGAAGTGCTGGTGGGATAAGCACCTTGGGAAGAGGTCTCGGTCGGGTAAGTGGCCTCGTCTGAAGTTGTCTGGGCGGTGGAATACGTGGAACCGGTGCTTGTGGGCGGGTATTCGGAGCAGACGCCCGCGAGGGCGGACATGCCTATTAACACAGTCCAAGTTAGTCAACCGTTTTTTTCCTTTCTTTCTCCAAATAGTGTCGACAGGGTGAGGGGGTGTGCTTTTACCTCCGTAGAAATCAGGGTCGACTGTTGAAGCCCAATCGGCGCAGCTGCTGGCATAGTCGTCGAAAGCGGTGGTGTAGGTCGAGTGGGCGCCGGTGTAGCTATACTTTACCGTCAGCGAGTGTTTCCGCTGCCAAGGGGGGCAGGTTCTCTCTCCCTCTCTTACCAGAGACACAAGGCAACTTGATCGTCGGCCATGGTCTGAATGCCTGGACCAAACCTGCTGGCGCAAGTTTCGGCTATCGAGATGACCGTCTGACACGGGGGCGGGTAGTCTGTGGCGGTGGCCGTCGTGGTTGCCGGAGCCGTGGGTGTCTCGGTTGTCGTGCCAGTGCAGATATTCCCATTGTTGGCAGTCTCGGCGGAACAGAAACTCGCGATTTGGTCGTTTACTGTGCGGGGGTCAGCAAAGCACCGCGCGGTGGCCGGGGCGCACATGTGGTTTAGCCATACTGGTATACTCGCTTGTGCTGGCAGGGAGGTATTTAGAGAATGATGCGGCACAGCTGCTGTAGACGGAAGCAAGTTCCGTAGACGACTGGCAGCAGAGACAGGCCGCCTGGGTGGCCTGTGGTGCCGCGTTGAAGTCGGAGATGGCAATGATGCAATGGTTAATGGCATTAATAGCAGTATTGCACGGCGCCGGGTCCAGTTCCGTTGCTGTGGCAGCAGTCGTGAGGCCATTCGCGAGAGCGTTGACTGGTGCAATATCAATAGACACCTTGGCCTTGTGCGCCAGAAAGAGCGCGGCAACGAGCTGGGAATGCATCTTGGATCGAGCAGTTAATACGGATTATCGGGAGAAATGAAGAAAATTATAACGAAGGACTCCGGTGAGTTGGGCAGAGACTCAGCACGAGAAGCTGGTGTGCTAACGAACAGGCTTTATACATATCAAACACCCCGTCTCTTCAACTGCTCGCCAGCTCATCTAAACCTAAGTGCGCCCAACCGATCCACCTTCAGCATAGGATCGACAGGGGAGTCTTCACCAAAGGGTCCAAAGGGTCCAAAGGTTTTCCGGTTTGGGCGCAAAGTGCGTGTCTGACAGAAGGATCCAAATCCTGGGATGGAGTGGGTGAGCCACCCAGTCAACGGTAAGAACCAAATCAACGTAACGCGTTCTTAAATTACGTGTCAGGAGCCAGTTTCTCAGCTCCCCTCTTCCCGCAGGAACCGCCTGCAATTGAGTCGCAGTCATTATTGCTGCTTCCTTCATGCTGAGCTTCAGTCTTCATCCCCCCCGACCAAAATTACACGGACACCAAACCAACGACCACAAATTGTTCCTTGTGCCGCTTTCCGGTGAGCTACATACAACATACCACAGGCTCTCGCTCAAACAAAGTCAAAGTCAAACCATAATTATGCCGGCGGAGCCGGAGGGAAAAAGGGGGGGGGGAGGGTGGAGCGCGGCAGTTGGGGATGGTGATTTTGAGAGGGAGAGGGAGCAGCTGTAAACAAACCTTGGGTCTCGACAACCCCTACCCTATTACAAAACTTTGACCCTTCCAACGATGTTCTATTTTCAGGCGTATGCCAATCTTGCTGCTTTAATCGGTGCAGTGGGTGTGGTTAGGAAATATGTGGGATTGCAAGGATCGGATCTCGGCCAGGTGCATGATATGACGTATTGTACGCCACGCCCACTTCCTCCGACTTATGCCTTATAAAGCCAACGAACAGCGCCAAACAACCTAGAACATCCATTCTAAACATTCGACTAAGTCAAGTACCAACCTTACGCCATCCAATGGCAACATAAGATAATAACCAGGCTGTAATCAATTATTAGGAATGTCTTCCTCTGCTGCAATCCCAACGTCCACCTTCGTGGTTGAAAGCGCTGTTATCTGTGACGGCCAGAAGCTGGTAGGGAAGGAAGGGAAATGAGTCGGCCGGGCGGGTTGTCAGGAGGCATGGGTTGCACCCCGTGTGGGGGCCTCGGGCAGGGGCCGGGGACCACCTCGGTCGGGCAGGGGGGCCCTCGGGGACCACCTCGGTCAGGGACTCTTGGCAACCGAAGACAGGTCCCGCCACGGGGTCCACCGCTCGGAAACCGAACGGAGGCTGGAAACTCAATCCACAGCGAGGACCGCCGGGACCTCTTCGCGGCTGTCGCCTACAGATCACGATCCCAAAAACACCGATACCACCAAATCAAATTTGGGCTTCACCTGGAACAGCACACACATTCCAGACCCGTCTCCTAAATCATATATACCACGACCACCAACGCCGCCACAACAACAGACAAACCCACACCCGGCGTCACCGACGCCCCAGCCGAAAAATCAACAGGCGCCCTGAACCGCGGATCAACCCCGCCAGCCGTGCCATTAACAGCAACGCGACTCCCCTCCACACAGAACTGCGCCGGGTCCCCCCAGACCGCATCGACAGCACGCCTCCACACAGCCCCGGGCCCACGGACCATCTCCGCCGTGTAGAAGAACCGGCAATTCGCAGCCTGGTACAGGAACTGCAGCGGCGTCTCGGCGTCGTGGGCCGAAAACGCATTCTTCCCATTGACGGACCCGGGATTCGTCGCCGTCGCCGCCCGCGCCAGCGCGTACCCCTCCGCCAGCTCCGCCAGCTCGGACGACATGTTAGACGAGGAGGAGCCGTTGGAAAGGGTCACGGCGGCGCTGGCGGCGGCCCCGATCTCCAGCATGGGGAACACCTGGGCGCCCTCGACGCCCGCGACGGACTGCATCGGGCCCGCCGTGGGGCGCCCGCCCACGACGACGCTGGCGACGCCGAGCTGCATGATCAGAAGGTAGGCGAAGAGCGTGCACGTCGAGCCGCAGGTGCCGTCGGTGAGGAGGAGGACGTCGGCGGGGCGGAAGACGGCCGGGGGAGGGTCGGAGCGGTTGCCCGTTCCCGTGAGGTTGAAGTCGGCGGAGGTGTCGTTCAGCGGGGTTTGTTGGTAGGCTGTGAAGCGGTCGCCGCGGAGGGATACCGGCGAGAGGATCTCGTCTATGGTGGTTAGTTGGGCGCCGTTGGGGGCGAAGACACCGCCTGGTACGAGGTTGCTGACGACGGAGCTCTGGCTTAGTATTGCGAGGGCTTGCTGCTGCTCGCGGGTTGCGTTTTGGGCGACCTCGTCGGGGAGGTTGTTGATGATCCGGGCTAGGTCCTCGACGCTGCTTGTGAGTCGGATGTTGTCTGCTTGGAAGGGTACTACGTCCGGGAAGAGCTGTTGGCGTGGAATATGGTAAGCAGTGGGTTCTTATTGCTACCATCCAAATAGGAGGTCTTTTGCTGGACCTACCTGTGCAAAGAGATCGTAGCCTGCAATGACAAAGCCGCCACCGTTGGCCGTGACGTCGATGACGAGCCGTTTCTTGTTCGCCTGCTTACACCGCAGTAGAAAGTTGCCCACCGTATCTTGGAAGTTGGTCAGAAAGGTGAGAGAATCGAAGTCTCCCGAGGGGGCAAAAGCCGAGATCGCCAGTACGGCCACATCGTCATAGCCCGTGCCGTTCAGGAAGTATCCAGAGGTCACGTTGGCGCCGTTGTCCCGAACAACTGGTAACGGATATCCGGCAATGGTGGGAGCGGGAGGTGCTAGGGCGGTATTTGTTGCCGAAGACGGAGGAGCGATGGTCGTTGGCGACGGGGTTGCAGACCCCGTCATGGTTGTGGCCGTTTCCACTACAGCGGCAGCAAATGCTTTAGCTACCGCTGACGGATCAGGATTACAGAACTTGTTGTAGTAGTCCTCCCCTGATCTGACGCCCGCAAAATCCACCGTTTTCCGGACCAACGCAATGCTGTCCTCGGCCTTTTCTTGGCCGTTATCGTAGGTGAGAGTTATGCTGGGGCCCTGGAAGAAGAGCGAGGCGGCGATGATTGGAAGTGCGTTTGGGCTGGCATACGACTGGAACTGCGAGTTCCATTGGGAGTCAGGGTCCTGATATATGCCATACTTGAGATTGACCTGGCCGAGGAATGTGGCTGCGTCCTGGCCGTTGATCTTGGTGATGGCCGGTGGGAAGGTCCCATTTCTGCGAGGAGGCGACGTCGAATTCCCTACCAGATCGGCTATGAAGAGTTAGAACTCTTGTCTCTCCTTACTGACCAGCCAGACGACAGCCCATTTCTCCGACTCACAGTAGTGATACAGCTTTGGCAGCTCCTTGCCGTCTCGTGAGACCGAGACGAGGTCCGCTACGAGGTTGTTCCGGAAAATGAAAGTCTTGAAAACGTCCGGTCGATACGCGAAATGGCCGTCGTGGGCCGCAGATATCAGCTCCACAATGGAGAGCTGGAAGTCGTATTCGCTGGCAAACCCACCTGCCACTGCTGTTGCCGAGATGTTATTTAGGCCACCTAGAATGTCCACTGCAGGGAGCATATATGAGGGCGGGGGTTCCTTCAGCCATGCCAGTGTGCTCTGCCACCCGGCGAAGGCTTTCAGGCTCGTGATCAGTTTCCGCGCCGGTTCGGGCTTGTTCGGGACAGATTGTAGGCATTGGTGGGCAAGGGTGGCAGCGATAGACGGCGTAGCTGATTATCGTGGTATTATGTTGAGTCAGAATATGATACCATGGCCATTGAGCGACCCCTATGGCCTCTAGAATTTGACAAACCTGTAGGACTCTGAGCCAGGAAGGATGCAGTCGCCTGGGAAACTTGGGCGCAGGCATTTGGCACCGTCCCAGTGGTATTTGATGGTATTGTTGTGTTTGAGCCAGAGGCCTGTGGTGCTGGCAATGCAGATACAGCAGCAATGCCAAAGAAGACGAGAGGCAGCATCGTTGTCGTCGTGGAGGTCACCGAGACCATCTCGATTTACACGGAGTCACAGTCACGGGCAACCAGGCCGGATGTGCAGCTCGAGGGAAAAAAGAGAATCTGCGCCATCCATTGCCACCATCCATTCTATTTATGAATTATCCAAGAACCCAGCAGTTTGGGTCCCCAAGCGGGAACTCAAGTGCCTGATCGTTCCTTGTGAAACGGACATGGTCTAGTGCCTTAATGCGCCGATTGAGCCTCACGCTTTGACAGCGATTGCGGCGATCTTCCCGTCCAATTGTCATCGTGCATCCATTCTCCAACCAGGGCTGAGCATGATCTCATAGCGTCCATGCCGCCGTGCCCCTCCCCCTGCCGGAACTGGAAGCAAGCCAAGGCGCCGCAGATCTTGAGGCTAAGCCTTGTTCAGATTCCTTCCAAGCCAAACTCCTCCCCGACGGGCCCCACTTAGTGGGGCCGGGTTCGAGATCGTTCTTCAACAGACCTGTTGGAACATTAGCATCTATCCACGCGCATTGACATTGAAACTTCGAGCTTTCGTCGAGCCTTGCGGATAGGTTGCTGGAACGGGGAGTGCGGCTCCGTCGAGCAATATATCAAAGCAGATGTAGAAGGTAACCGCATCGCAGCAATAATTAGACGAAAGGGGGCGACTCAATTTACCATCTGTCCGCTGAGGGCTAGAGTTCTGGTAGTGGGAAGGCATTCTCCTTGGACTTACTGGGCAGGCAACGAAAAATATCGAATCGGTCATGCATACGCAATATGTACACTCGAGCCAGGCTTGCGTTAACAGTGCAGAAGGCCGACTCGTCCGCCCGTCAACTGAACTGATATCCCATGAATCCCCCTAAATCTTCACATCCCATGTCCAGCATTTCCGCCCCCAAGTCCCCTTCATTCCCAAGGTATGTCGGATACGCCTTCATCGGGAAGGCCCGAGCCCACCACGATGGGGGTGCCATTTAGCAGAGATCGCAACACTCAAGGCAGCACTCGCACGTCTCGCCGCAGAGCCAGCAGCAGCACAGCGTGGCCAAACTATATATGAGGGGAGCGGGTGCGAGCAGTTAGTCTCCCGAGCATGTGATCGAAACAAAGAGACGGAGGGGTTCGGGGCCGTTCGGGGAGGCGTCGGTAGTACGTACCAACCATAGAGGCATCCGTGGGTCTTCTCCTGCGGGGGCGGCACCTGCTGCTGCGGAATGTACTGAGCCTGCGGTGGCGGGAAGTTCTGGTTAACGGCCGCGCGGCGAATCGTGAAGTAACCACGGGTGATGTAGCAAAATAAAATAAAATGGTATGGAATGGAATGGGAAAGAAAAAAGTACCGCGGAGGGGGGCTATATTCAACGTACCGGCGGTTGCTGCCCGTAAGGTTCACCGTATCTGGCAAGGAATAACGCGTCAGCTCAGAAAGGAGAGGGGCGCCCTTTTTTTCCCCCACGATGGCTTCGGCGGGTGTTGGCGGACTTACCCTCCTTGGGGGGGATACCCTTGGGGAGGTCCCTGCGGGTATCCACCCTGGTATGGCTGTTGCTGGTACGGAGGTTGTTGCTGGTAAGACATGGCTGGCTAGATTGTCGGTTTGATGATTTAACGTCAAGACGCAAATGTTTTCGTTTTCGTTCCCCGAGGCGATTGATGTTGTTTCTTCACTGCTGGGGAAGGAGAGAAGGTGGTTTGGAGCGAGGACCCTTTTTAAATTTCGAGGCCCGACAATTGTCAATTCCCGCCAAGCTGCTTGGCGGTAGTGTAACCGATGTTAATGGCTGCGAGCCGTCCCTTTCTTCCTTGGCTTTGTGGCTGAATCGGTCGCCTTGATTGGCTGGGAGCATCTGGAAAAAGAACAGCGCCAACGGGAAGGACGGGAAGGTCGGGATGTGGGCCCTCTGTGTGCTGGCATGCCTTCTGGTTTGCACAAAGCCATTGTACAGGGTCCCATTTTCGTATGTGCAAAGTCAGGTGTCGTCTATTCCCGTCATTTCCTAACAACCGAGTTCCTTCCGGCATGCACGAATCCCGAATCCTTCGATATAAATGGACTCACTCAAGCTGCACATTTCCCCCATTCCCGTTGGACCTTGGACCTGGCGGCTACTCGAAACAAGCCTAAACCCTTCAATGGCGCTTGTGATAAACTGCCAGCTGCTTGTCCAAAATCTAACCACCTTCCAATTTCATTTTTCTCGAACTTCCGGCAGGCAACAGAAACTGCTTGGCGCCACCCCTCCTCATGTCCGAACTCACGCCCGACTCCCGATCGACCCAGATCCGACGATGGCCCATGCGCCGAGAGAGCCAACTTGCCTTGGAGCGCCCATGCAAGGAGTACCAGCATCTTCTCCGCCATGATTGCCCCAAGAGGTGTCATTTAATCTGCTTCTCGATCAAGGTTTTCGAATCTCGTATCTAGATTGATGAAGAATCCGTGAAAAAGATTATGTTGTACCTGTACCATCCACGCCCAGCGTCAGTAATAGGTATAGGGTCAGGCCCATCCGCAAGCCGGCTGGCGAAGCCACGAGAAAGCAGCAAACATTGTGATGCTTGCGAGGTTGATGGTCTGGATGCTGTCCCCCGTCAACCTCCAACTTCCTGCTTGAAGGTGTCCCAAGGTACATCCTGCAAAGTGGCGTAATCTTCCTAACGTATCCAGCCGCTCGTAGGTGGAGTTTCCCTGTCAGGGCTTGAAGGTAATGGAAGTTTAGCCCGAATGGGCAGCCTTCAGCTTCCGCCCATTCGATGATGCCGACCCAGTGGCAGGATGTCTCGTCGACCATGATATTGCCGGCGCCAAAGTCTCGGTGGAGAAGCACCATCGGCAAGAACAGAATGGCATCCATTGTTCCGATACAATTCTGGATGATGGGATGGAAACCATCTGGCAGCGCAGAGAGCAAAAGCTGTAGCACTTTAACATATGTCTGGCCTAGGTGGCTGTAATATGCTGAGCTATCCTCTTGGGGTCTTCCCATGGGAGGGCAAAGAAGCTGTAGAAGGCTTAGGCAAAATATATATTTCATAGAAATTAGCCAGAAGGTTAACCTACCGTACTAATCTATCATTTGGTTCTTGCGCCAGACAAGGTTCTCTTGCGAGTTCTTGGGAAAGCCCCGTGCCAAGATAAAGTCCACGTGAGTGATGCTCTGTATACGACTCATCAAGGAACTATAAAGGGGTTCTTTCCCGTCAATGTCGTCGTCCCCTACCTTGCCTTCGAACGAGACCTTTTGCGCCAGGTCTCCGTCAATCTTTTGCGCCAGTGTGGAAGTCTCGGTTTTGTGCTACTGTCTCACGTACCGAGGGTCGCACATCCCCTGTGACAGAGGGACGAGCGGCCTGGTTGGAGCTTCAGAGTGCGGACTTCAGCGGATGTTTGTTTGTGGCGGGGCATCTGAATTTAGTTTACTCACTGCCCTGGTGCAATAGACACGAGGGAGACAGTCTGTGTGAAGCAGCAGCATTGAAATCTATAGTTTGGCAACCCTCCATCAAGTTAAAAATACAGTATTCTATCTTTGTCATATTCTGCTGAATCAACCTTTGGAACTAGGTACGTGAACATAAAACGAACTGTTTCTCCAGACAATAACTAACACATCTTTTCCACCAGCAACATAATATGCACCTTCAGCTAACTCTACGTTTTCTAGGCAGAGAAAGAAGAAGGGATCGTTTAAATCCCTTGTCAGTGAACAGCTGTGAAGCTCGAATACGTCATGGCGACGCATCTGGAGCATCTAACTCTTAACTCTCTGAATAGCGTCTGAAGCTGTTCTTGTCTCTGGAGAGTTGTTAGAAGCGAGTATGAGTTTGGTTCGAGGTGAGAAGACTTGAAGAGAAAGAGTTGAAGTGTGGGAGGACGGGTAGTGGTAAATTATCGAGGTCTCATGCAAAAAAAAGAAAACGTTTGGCCATGCAGGTTATCTCTCCAGCTAGATACCTTGAAAAAAAATTTAACGGCGATTCATTGCTTAACTTACACGCATTGCATTGTATGCATAGTATATTGGCAGATTAGTGTTGAAATGCCCACATTCCCACAACCATGTCTTTACCTCATCGCCTCAAACAAACATCCAGTCCCCGACGCTTCAGTTCCTGCAGTATCAACCCCTCGAGCACGTGGCTCCGCTCCCTCGCCCACCACGACTCCCGGGAGGTGAGCAGAACGCGAGCCGCCCGGTAGAAGTGAAACAGCACGACGAGCGCCCGCGCGTCGCCGGCACGGGCGAGGCCGAGGAACGGCCCGCTTAGCAGGATGGGGAAGGAGAAGAAGAAGCGCTCAAAGTCGGGTTGCATCGGCGCTGCTGCGGTCGCGTCGCCGGGCGATGGCGGTGGGGGAAAGCATAGGATGACTGCGAGGCTGCGGGCCGCGCGCTCGTAGGCTTCGCGCGGGGTCCTGGGGAAGGGAGGTCTCTGAGAGGAGGGGGAGACGCTGCGGGGGGTGGTGGAGACGCTGCGGAGGGTGGTGGTGGCGTCTGTGTTGGGATCAGGGGACGGCGTGGCTGAGGGATCGATGCCCATGATGACCTCTCTGGCCCTCAGCATGTCAGCGACTTCCGGATGGGAACTATACAGCGCCACCATTTCCTGGCAATGATATGTGCTCTTCTCGGGGATTCCCGAGGAGTCGGCTGCTTCGTCGTCCGCCTCCTCGCTCCCGTAACGAGGGTCGTCCCACAGACGCATAAAGAGCGACACAAGCTCGTCAGGATTCCCTCCCCTTTGCCGAACCGCATCCTCCATCCGCACTCTAGGCCGATAGAGGGCGACCGACACAAACACGCTCCGGGCGCTGAGGAAAAGGGGCAGGGCCTCGAAGAAGATGTGCTGGACCCCTGGGCTGAGCAGGAAGAGCTGGTCCTGAGAGAGATCCAGGCCATGCAGGCCAGAGCGCTGGTCTTCGAGAAAACCGAGGTTGCACCAAGACAGGTAATGCATCAAGATGGCCGTGCCCATTAGCGCGTCGCAGTTTTCCGGTGTTATGGGCCGCGAGAGGTTTTCGCGGAAGAGCTGGGCGGACTTGGCGAGAAGGCGGAGAGCAGCGCGTGAGTAGCGATGTGTTCCCGGCCGCAGTATGGACAAATGTGTTGCAGCCAGGCTGAGGATTGTACACATGATATACGGTTCCTGCGAGTCATTGTTAGTTGCCGCTGAACCGCGAGACTGAGTGGAATGGAGTTGGGGGCGTCGTACGTGGAACGCTTGTCGAAGTAGCAGCGGCCAGACCTGGGGGAACGAAAGGGTATCTTTAAGTTCGGTCTGAAAGTGATGGAACAGCTCCATATGGAGAAGGTTAATCTGCGTGTCGTCCTCAGTTCCGGGGTCCAAGCTGGGATTGGAAGGGTTGGGACGGGTCCGAATAGCTGGGTCCCCGGCGTAGGCTGTTTTCAGATGCACGCATTTCTCCTTTCTCCTTGCACAATTGGAGCACGGAAAGCACTCATCGCACTTGAGCCATCGAATCTGTCGTCAGCTGTGTTACGGCATCAACTGCGGTCTGAAAAATTTGCCTGCCTTGACTCTCCGTTGCTTGCAAGCGATACAGCCCAGTCGACTTTTCTGGTGCCGGCGCTTCTTACGGCCCTTGCCAGCACCATCGTTGGCATCCAAACCGGGGATCTCACTAGCCACGAAGATCATGGGTGCTTCGGGACTTGAGTCGTGTTCCATGTCGTCCTGTTTCAATCTGTGATATCTCGCATAGCGAAATGGGAACGAGACGGGAGGGTGGGGACTGTCTTAAATGAGTCGCGGGTGTCGTCCACAGGGCTGGGTGAATAATTACGTGTTTGCTTGAGGTAATGCGGGCTTTGCATTGTGCCGTGACCAAAGCTGCGAGGGGACGACAATGACGACGGGAAGACCGGCCAATCACATGCTCCGAATCTCCAGCTCGTTCCCATTCGGGAACGAGACGACGCCTAGGCCCCCTGGCGGCCAATTAGATCCTCAGGATGAACCCAGGTATCGCATGCCATCAACGTCGAGATGCCACTGATGCCGTTTTGTCGTCAGCTCGTACCTCGTGTCATTTGGGAGCTCATTAGCGTGGGAGTCTTGATCCTCCATTATTAGGTGGATATATAAGGTAACGTTGGCCATCATGTTGTCTCTCTACCGGCCTCTCCCTCTCCCTCTGCTCGACGCAAAGCAGGGTTCATTACCACCAGGTTCAGCGCAATATTCCCCTCGTTTCCTTTTGAGTTGGCTCATATCACATCACACAACACCATACTGTCAATCATGACGCGAGACGCCGAGAAGGCTGCCGGGGATGAACCGGATCCCAATCCTCTGGGACTTGACGAAGCGGAAATCAAGCTCCTCGACAGCCAGGTAGAAATCCTTCCGAGCAAGGCCGGATATATGGCCATCTACCGCTATGCCAATCGGTTCGATCTTCTTGTCATGGCGGCATGTGCTTTGGTGGCCATTGTGGCGGGCTCGACCATGCCCCTGATGACGGTATATTATCACACAATCCTCTTCTCTTAGCATTACCTCGAGTTGAGTTGACATTGTGCTAGGTCGTGTTCGGCTCCCTAACTGGAAAGTTTACCGATTTCACGACGAATCCTGCAGGAGCAGAAGTGTTTGTGAATCATGTCCACCGTCTGGTCCTGTATTTCGTCTACCTTGGTCCGACTTTCCTGCAAACCGCCTTTTCTCATTCGGCCGTTTGCTTTCTCGCTAACCTCTGCGTAGGAATTGCCTCGTTCCTTGCTATTAGCCTGCACGTCCTTGGCTTCACTTGGACTGCGCAGCGTATCTCAAAGCGCATGCGAGTTGCCTATCTAGAGGCCGTCTTGCGCCAGGATGTCGCCTTCTTCGACAACCTTGGCGCCGGCGAGATCGCCACACGCATCACGGCTAACATGAACGTCGTCCAAGATGGCATCTCCCAGAAGGTTGGCCTGACAATTTCGGGCGTGGGTTCTCTCTTCGCCGCCGAGATCATTGCCTTCATCACCTCTTGGCGGCTGGCCCTCGTCATGTTGTGTCTACCTGTGCTGATCACGGCATGGATGGGCGTTATTGGGGGCCGGATGAAGCTAGCCCAGACCGGCTCCATCAACGCGTACGCTTCGAGTTCTATCCTAGTCGACGAAGTCATATCGTCAATTCGCAGTGTCATCGCGTACGGTTCCCAGCACCGGTTCGCAAAAAGGTACGACGCGTCACTCGTCAAGCCAATGAAGCTGGACTTCGTCGCCAAGGCCCTCATGGGCACCCTCATCGGTGGCATGATGTGGTTCATGCTCGGCGCGTTTGCCCTCTCCTGCTGGGCTGGGTCACGCTTCATGGCAAACGGTGACGCGACCGTGTCCCAGGTCGTCACAGTGCTCCTTGCATCGGCGATTGCTGGGGTAGCCTTCGGCACGGTCGCGCCGCACTTGCAGGCTTTTGGTGCCGCTGGCGCTGCGGCCAACCAGATTTTTGCTGTCCTCGACCGAAAACCGACGACTCCGTTGGGTTGTGGGAAACGTCTGGATAAGGTGGATGGCCACGTCAGGTTCGACAAGGTCAAGCTTGTCTATCCATCCCGGCGACACCAGCTTGTGTTCGAGGAGTTCAGCTTGGATATACCGGCTGGGAAGACTACCGCCATCGTAGGGCCGTCGGGCTCGGGAAAGTCGAGTCTTTTCTCGTTGCTGGAACGATTCTACTCCCCACTTCGCGGACAGATATTGCTCGACGGACACAACATCCAAGACTTGAATCTTCAGTGGCTTCGATCTCAGGTCAAGGTCGTTTCTCAAGAGAGCTTCTTGTTCAACACCACCGTGTTCGAGAACATCGCTTATGGGCTGATCGAATCTGACCACGGATCGGTCTGTTAACTTGGACTTTTTTGTGCATCTGGGTTTCAATCTAACACACATACAGGCCGATGATACCACGAAAACCAAGCTCGTGGAAGAAGCAGCGAGGATCGCGAACGCACATGCCTTTATATCAGAGCTTCCGAATGGGTATCAAACCTCTGTTGGAGAGGGTGGCAGCCTCCTGAGCGGCGGCCAGCGGCAAAGGATCGCAATTGCTCGTGCAGTCGTGTCAAACCCAAAGATCCTCCTCCTAGACGAACCCACTGCATCGTTGGACACCAAATCAGAAAGCGCAATACAGGCGGGTCTAGAAGCCGCATCAGCTGGAAGGACCACCATCGTGATCGCACATCGTCTCTCCACCGTCAGGGATGCCGACAAGATTGTCGTCGTCGAGCACGGCAGGATTAAAGAGCAGGGCACCCACGATGACCTTCTCGCGAGGGGGGGCGCCTACGCATCCCTTGTCGCCGACCAGACGCTCCATTCCGGTGCTGGCGGAGACGTCGCTGAAAAGACACACGATCCAGATTCAGGAAGCGAGACAGGCGATGCCACTGCCCCAAAGGAGTTCAATACCAAGGAAACCGCCACGGAGGCGTCACAAAAGCCCACCCGCACATCCCGCTACGAGCTCTTCAAGTTCCTCTGGAAGCTCAACAAGCCAGAGCAGGCCTACCTAATAGCCGGCTTCATCGGCAGCATGTTCAGCGGCCTCGCCTACCCCATGACAGCAATCCTCTTCAGCAACCTCGTCCTCGCCCTGACCGACCCAACCCTGACCCTCGGCAACCACACCGTCCCCTTCTGGTCCGGCATGCAATTCCTCCTCGCCTGCACCATCTTCGCCACCAGCCTAGCCCAGCACATCCCCCTCGCCCACGCCTCCTCCCGCCTCGTCTCCCGCGCCCGCACCACCGCCTTCGCCGCCCTCCTCCGCCAGGACGCCGCCTTCTTCGCCGACCCGGCCAACGCCCCCGCCTCCCTCGCCGCCCTGCTCTCCCACCACGCAGACCGCCTCAACGGCCTGAGCGGCGCCGTCCTGGCCGCCGCCCTCGCCGCCGCCTCCGCCGTCGTCGCCGGCCTCGCCGTAGCCGTCGCGTCCGGCTGGCGCCTCGGCCTCGTCGCCGCCTCCACCATGCCCCTCGTCGTCGTCACGGGCTACGCCCGCATGCGCGTCCTGTCCGACCTCGAGCGCCGCAACCTGGGCGCCGGCGGCGGCGCCGCGGGCGTCGTCTCCGAGGCCGTGCGAGGGATCCGCGCCGTCGCGGCGCTGGGCATCGCCGACGCCGTGGTGGGCAGGTATGCCGGCCGGTTGCGCGACGAGACCCGCTCGGGGCTGGTGCCCGCCGCCGGGCTGGCTGCGCTGTATGGGTTTAGTCAGTCCGTGGGGCTGTTCTGCTCGGCGCTGGTGTTCTGGTATGGCGGGGTGAGGTTGATGCCCGGTGGGGAGTACACGGTGCGGGAGTTCCTGGTGTGCTTTGTCGCTACTACGTATAGCGCCCAGGCCGCCGGGAGCATCTTCTCGTTCGCGCCTGACTTGGCTGGTGCGCAGGAGGCGGCGAGTCGGCTGAAGGCGTTGGTTGAGACGGTTCCTGGGATTGATGCCGAGGCGGAGGTGGGTGAGGCGGCGGGGGGGATTAAGGGGAATGTGGGGTTGCGGGACGTGGACTTTGCGTATCCGTCGAGGGCGGATCGGGGCGGGCAGCTGGTGCTCAAGAAGGCGACACTCAAGGCCGACGTGGGCAGGTTTGTAGCCATCGTCGGCGCGAGCGGCAGCGGCAAGAGTACCGTCTTAGGGATGCTGGAGCGGTTCTACGATCCACTTTCCGGACAGGTCTTAGCCGATGGATTGGATATACGCCGCTATCGTCTCCAGCAGTACCGCAAGCAGATTGCGCTGGTCGAGCAGGATGCCGTCCTCTTCGGCGGGACCATCCGGGACAACATCATCAGTGACGAGGATGCGGAGCTGCCGGCCATCGAGCAGGCATGCCGGGAGGCAAATATATGGGAGTTTGTGGTATGGTTTGCCCATCCCAGAGAGCCATTTCTGAGAAGGGGTGCGGTTCGGCTGACTGAGCTACAAGCAATCTCTGCCCGACGGGCTCAACACACTGGTGGGATCTCGAGGCAGCCAGGTTTCCGGAGGCCAGAGGCAGCGACTGGCCATTGCCCGAGCCCTGCTGCGTAATCCAAATATTCTGTAAGCAGACAACCCCCGTCAGACCACACGTACAGCAACACTAACCGGAAGACACCAGCCTGCTCGACGAAGCGACCTCCTCGCTCGACTCCAAGTCAGAGGCCGTGGTGCAGCAAGCACTCAACGCGGCGTCCGTGGGGCGAACCACGATAGCCATCGCCCACCGGCTGAGCACCATCGCCGACGCGGACTGCATCTACGTCTTCGAGGATGGCGCGGTTGTCGAGGAGGGGAACCACCAGGAGTTGATGGCCATGAAGGGGAAGTACTGGGAATACGTGGGGATGCAAAGCCTTGCGAGATAAATGCTGTCTGCGAGTAGATCGGAACCTCTTCGGGGTGGAGGAAAAGGGGGAAATAGCTAATCGCGGACTCTTTGGACACTTGGGTGTAAGTATAAATGTGGATAGTTTCTAACTCTACTCTACCTGCTCGTAATGAGGCGTCAATGAGACGCAATTGGCAGTCCAAAACATGGTTCACAGTATAGCAGTACAAGCTTGCGAGGTTGGGGACGGTATATGGTTCCTTGCCTGGTGTTTCATTCGTGATTAATCACCTGGTCAAGCACATCTGAACACGAACCAGCGGGAACAAGCAAGGAGCCTCGAGTTACAACTCAGGTGTATAACCCTGTTCGAAAAATAGACAAGACTGAAGCCAGGAAGGCTAATTAAACAAGTGGAAGTACAATGTGGACAACCCCATTGGGTCTGGTTACGCTGCATAGGTCTGGCATCAATAGCACGACCCGCGCTGCAGACTCAACGATCCTTGCCTGTCGGCCAAATCATGCTAAACCGTGTCACACCACGCTATGTCTATAGGTCAAACCCTCCCCAATGCCTACTGATGCCTGCTGATTTGTGCTCTATAGCCTGCTCGCCACCCCACCGGGGCCGCCGTCGATTAGTGGCGGAGGAAGGCACTTGCTCCCTGACCATTTGCAGTTTGCCCCGAACAATCAATCTGTGACTTCGTCAATCACTTCGGAATGTGGCCCTCGACGGCGCTCAAGGCCCCGAGGTTGACCTCGCCCATGCTTAGCACGCCGCCACTCACAGCGCCGCCACCGCCGCTTCCGACGTTGGCCAGGAGGGCCACGCACTCGACGACGTCCTCGGGCTCGAGGAGGTGCCACCTCGCCAGGGTAACCTTCGTACTGGCACCCACGGTGACGGTGAAGCACGCCTCGGCATCGATGGCGGATGGGCTGTCCGACGGCGTCGAGAGCCCGTTGAGGGCGCGGAACATGTCCTCGTCCGTGAAATCGTCGCCCATACAGAGGGCGAATCCGGCCCCCTTAGTGGTGGTGCTATCTCCCCGGGTTGGAGAGCCGGCCGCCTGCTCCATGTCCGACAAATAGGTGGCCATGAGTCTCTTGACAATCTCGCCCTTGTTGATGAATGTGGGGCGGACCTCGAGGTTGGCCTTACCCGTCATGACATCGACGCCCCATTTCCGAGTGACATTCCGCTCCAGTTCTGTCTGGCATTCGCGCGACATGTGGAGACCCTGCTCGGGATCGGCAAGACGGTAATGCCAGGTCAAGGCGCATCGCTTGCGTTCGATAAACGAGCCTGTTTCGAGAACATATGTCAGGAGACTATAGCGAAGAAGGAAAGCATGCACATGCGTGGGGTTAAGGGGTAAAACTCACCAGGGACCTTGTCCGTGTACTTCTGGAACACATCCATCACCTCGGATTGCCAGTTCAGGTCGAGTTTCTCCACGAGGTTCTCCCACTCAGTGCTCCCGGGCTCGCGTAGGAAGCTGCCATGCTCGGCACTGAAACCCAGCTCTCTGATATGGCCAAGATGCTGGTTCAGGAACTCCTGGTCGCGTCCCGAGATGATCCAGACGGCGTTGCGATGGTCAGCCGCTAGGGTCTTAAGCGTGTGGATGACTCGCTCCGAGGGGATGGCCGCACTAGGCTCCCGCACGATCGGCGTCAAGGTACCGTCGTAGTCGAACATGAAGAGACGCTTCTCTGCAGCACGGTACTGCCGGAGCATGGCTGCACGATCGAGGAGCGGCGTCGCAACGATGTTGCTGCTATTTCCGAGGACCTGGATTAGACGGCGCACAAAGGCCGAGATCCAGACCTTGACGTTGCGCGTCGTGACGTGGGCATTCAGGTTCCGCTGCATGGCGTGGCGCGCCTCGTCCGACATCGTCAGGGCGTTATTGATCTGAGCCGCCACGCCGGACAGATCCCAGGGGTTGATATGGATTGCGTCCTTGAGGGAGCCGGCCGTCCCGCTGAATTCCGAGAGTATCAGGGGCCCCGCGGCCTCGCGCTGGCAAATGATGTACTCGAGCGAGGTCGTGTTCATGCCGTCTCGGACAGACGTTATAAGGCCGATATCGCCAGCCCGAAGGAGCGCGAAATACTCGGTCTGGTTGAGGTACTGCGGATAGTGCTGCACGGGCGAGAAGCCGAGAGAGCCATACATGCCGTTGATCTTCATGACGAGCTCATTGACGCGGCTGGCAATCTTGTTGTCCGGATCTTCCTGCTCTGCCTCTATGCTCGTGGGCGAGGTGACCTGGATCAGGACCACCTTCTCGCGCCATTCGGGGTACCTCTCCAAGAAGCGCTCAAATGCCTCGAGCTTCTGGGCAACACCTCGAACACTATCCAACCGGTCGCGGCCCACGATGACCTTGAGGCCGCTGTACAGCTTCTTGAGTGCCTCGGCCTTCTCGTTGACCTCGTCGCTGTATGCCAGTTTCTCGACCTTTGTGGCGTCGATGCCGATGGGAAAGACACCGACCTGGACCCGAGTGCCGTACGAGTCCACGCCCGTCGCGTCTGACGGGAAGCCCAGGACTCGCGTGCAGCAGCTGGAGAAGTGGCGAGAGTAGCTGTAGCTCTGGAACCCCACTAGCGTCGATCCCAACACGCCCTCGAGGATCTCCTTACGGCGCGACAGGCAGCGCAGGAATTCGCTGCTGGGGAAAGGCGAGTGTAGGAAGAAGGCTATGTACATGTGGGGCGCCCGCTGGCGGAGCATGCTGGGGAGCAGCATCAGGTAGTAGTCGTGGACAATGACGATGTCGCCTGGTTTGTAGACTTCGAGGATCTTATTGGCAAACTTTTGGTTCATCCGGTAGTAGTCGGCCCACTGTGTTCGTTCCTTGCGGCCGTCCGTCGGCTCGTGTTGCTTGTAGTGGAGGAGCGTATAGAGCTCGTGCTCGGCATACCGCCTCCATCTCGTCTGGTCCCTGAGGGTCACTCCGGGTGGGCCCTCCTCGTCGTCCGCCAGCCAGACGGGAACCATCCTGATTCTCTTATCATTTGCCAGTTGGTGCTCCAGCCGCTGCTGGTCCTCTCGGGGAATCCACAATCCGTCGACATGGGGGGTGGAGGGGGCCGGGCGCACGCCATCGATTGGGACTGGTGCGGAGAGCACATTGAGGGAGGAGAGCCCGAGAGTTGTGGAAGGAGGCGTCTTCGGCGGTGACGGGAGATCCGGTACCTCCTCGATCTCGCCGGTCCAAGCAACAACCGTGTGGTTCCAGGGGGTATCGTCGGAGGAAAGGTAGGAGAAAGAGTCGAAGAGGGCGGATTGACCGCGGCGAGGCTTCAGTTCCTGTGGGGAGAATATATGTGTCAGTCAACCCGGCCACTAAGCATGTTGCTGCCCTGATCCAAATCCCGGTGGGGGGCCTAGAGCTACTCACCCAATCGGCTCCCTTGTGATACTTGAGCGAGTGAGGAATGTTGAAAGTAGCAGAAATAATATTCCCACTCAATGCAAGGCTCTGGTTGGCGGCCATAATCTCTGAGAGGGACTCGGTATCACCTGCAGCTCCCAGGCTCGTGCGCTGCAGGATATCATCATCCGACTCGACACCAGCAGGGAGCTGTGGAGCCTGGCTCGGACTCTGAGGAGCTGGGGCACTTGAACCAGCCAAAGAAGGAATGCCGTGCTGAGCTTGCAGAGGATCACTTGCGCTGCTCATGTCCTTGCGCCCCTTCTTAGCTGCCTCACCCGGGTCGTAAGGCTGGGGGCCGATGTCAGGAGTGACAGGAACATTTGTGACCGACTCCCGGAGCGGAGGAGGGAGAGAGGACTCTGATTGATGTTGAATTGACGGCCGGTCATCCAGACCTTGCTGCTGCGGCTGCTCTTGAGGACGGTCTCCTGTCGCTGCTGTTTTCTTCTCCATAATGGCTGACGTCGGATTGCTAAGAATGGCGGGGGAGGGGCTGTCAGCCGCAGGGATTCTGCAAGACGAGCACTCGGAACAAATGCGAAGGATCGGGGATTGGGAGAAGAGCTTATGAGATTCCAGAGGAATGCAGACAAACGAAATCAAAGAATAGGTAGGTACCACAGGGCGGAAGTGCGATGGGACGAGGACGAAAGTATGAAGAGAAGGGAGGAGCAAGTGACGGTCAGCGAGTTGCCCAGGACGAAGCGTGGCAGCCACTTGGCGGCAGGGTTCTAGGCCTGTTGAAGGTGGGGCAATCTCGAAATAGTTGGGCGCAAACAATACCTGGCAATTAGTACCTGTGAGCCGCTTGTTGCTGGCCGCAATCCCGTAATCCCGCAATCTCGCGAGAGAAAGGTGCTGGTGGCGAGTGATGTGTTCTTTGAGGTTGTGTCGAATTTACAGTCTCTCCACAGCTGTGTCACTGTGAGAAAAGCCAGGTGTCGGTTGTATCACGATCAAAACCAGGGCTTTGCACGAAAACATCTTGTTGCTGGTTGGTGCGTTCAGATCTGATCTCGAGGCGTCTGCCATGTGACACAGGGCAGGAACACTGGGAGCTTTGACATCTCCCTGACGTAATGGCTGTTGTGTTTTTTTTTTTACTTTCTAATTGTTCCTTGGCTAGACCAACCCCCCCTCCCCCCCCCAATTGCCCCACCCTTGGATGGATCAGGGGAATGGAATGGAAGAGGAGCAGAGTTGGGCCAGATCTTGCGCCAGACAAGATGCAGCGTCATATCAGGCTGAATCAAGGTTCCCTTAACACAACGGCGGGGGGCTGCCGAAGAATGCAAGATGCAAGAATAGAGCCGAGCCGCGACACTCAATGCCCGATCCCCCGAGAGTTGAGCCATTTTCGATTTCCTGCCCTACTGTTCCTTCCTCTGCTTGTCGCCTCTCGCCGATGACCGCGCCGGACCAAATCGTAACTCGACCCGCAACTGCGACCGTATTTCTCCGAAGTGCGGTGCTGCATCATGCACGCAATTGCATGCAAGTCGAGGGGGCACACATGGTCTGGAATTGAGGCGCTTCCACGGGCTCGGCGTTCGCCCTCACGTTGCCAACAAGGGCTCTTCGATTGGTTCTGAGCTACTGATCGATAATTAACCAGTCATTCCATCTCGACGAGGCGAGGATCGCTCTTCCTCGCCTGATATCCAGTTCATATGTAGGCCATTTAACATGCATGATATTTGCTTTCCGATTGACTCGGGGTTTTTCTTATTTCTTCCCCAACTGATCTGATCCTTTCCACGGGGCGTCGACCTCGCCGAACTACAACTTCTCACCACCATCTACATCATCGACTTCCTTTATCTCCTCCCCGTTATCGTCCACTAACGCGCTCTGGCCATCCAAGCCCCTGAATTTCTTCAAGCCATCGCCTTTCAAGTCAACCACGCGCTGGGAATAGAAGATGTGGCATTGCGCCTTGAACGCCTCCCTGCCCTCCTCGGTGTCGATGCCTTCGATCAGCGTGGGGAACAGCAGAATCATGTTCCGCCCTTCGTCCATGATCGGGGTCCGGCAGTAGGAACACTGTACCTTGCAGGGCAGGTGGTGTGTCCTTGACATCGAACTCGAGTCGTACCACCCCAGATCGTCATGCCCGTTGGTGAAGTTTATGTCCTCCTTGTGGAAGATGGCAGCCCATTGGAAAGGGGCCTGTACAACGTATGGGTGTCAGTCAGCCTTGCCCAGTCCAGTGATCCAGTGGCAGGAAACCAACCCCGTGGAGCCGCTGGCAGGTCCTGCAATGGCAGTACTTGCTCGCCAGCGGCCTGTCTCTGCTCAGTTGATACTGGATCCTCCCACAATGGCACTGCCCCTTCCACCTGGCCTCGAACCCGTCGCCGTTATCGTGGACCTGGTAGGGAGCCCTGTACTTCCATTGCTCGCCTTCCCCCTGCGCTGTTGAGCTCACTTGATCCCCCTGGGCCGCCATCGGTTCTGCGTGTAGTTGGGTGAGGTCATGTGAATAAAGGGTATGTGCATGCGTGGCATTAGTATGGATTGTATATCGAGCGTGTTGGAGACTACGACGGAGAAAAAAGCGGGGAAGAACCCGCCATGCGCGTCACGAAGCCAGAAGAGCCCCACGGACGAACTCTCATTTATGATTGACGTCACCGCGAGCCTTGCTAGATCAAGTCGCCAACATGCATGTTTCGGCAAGTCTCCAGGCGAGGTAGGAATCGGGGCCGATGCAGGCAAACATTGTTATTGCCTCTCTATCTACCGACACTATTTTTGAGTACCTTATGACGCCGTTGAATCTGCAACTCGAGAAAATAACGTCGCCCGTCTGCTTCATCACACCGTTTCCCCGTTGGGCAGACTGGTCTCCTTGTCCGGCACCTAGGCCCGAACGGAGCAAGATTGGGACATCGACCGAGAGACAACGACGGCGGTGAGGACGAGAGGAAGACAAATGTAGACCACCAAAATAAGAAAATGTGACCCAATATTATCGTAATAGTAATGCTTGTTCAGCAATAAACGGAGGATAATTCGCCGCCCATGCTGGCGGCACCTCTGCAAACCACGAGGCAAGTCAGGAGGTTTCATATGCCCAAGAACCCTCCGTGCTGCATAAGCCGCAGCTGGAACTCCCGAAGGTCCGCCCAGCTGCGCAGCTCATCCTCCTCGTCCTGCGGCGTCATGGCGCCCCCTCCCCCGGACATGGCCCCGCCGAACTGCCCGCCGTGCCTGCCCGTCCCGGGCCCCGTCTTCTCGAGCCGCATGAGGATGCCGACGAAGCCGTGCAGGTACTCGTCCGCCTTGACGGCGACGGGGCCCTTGCGCTCGGGCGCGTCGTTGAGGAGCGTCGACGCCACCTGCCGGATCTTGGTGATGACCGATGCCCCGTTGGGCTCCAGGTTCCGCTGCGGGATCGACGTGAGCACCTCGACCAGGTTGTGCACGATGTGCTCCCGCTCTGACGTCATGGCCCCGTCCACGGGGTCCGATTGCTCCGCCGCCGCGTGCACAGCCGCCGCCGCCGCCGCGACTGCGTCCTTGTTGCCCTGGTGATCGTCCGCAGAGCCAAAACCGCCGTTGACGCCGCCGCCGCCCGCGTAGACCGCCTGGTTGCGCGAGTGCTCCCGGTGGACGTCGCGGAGGTTGAGGTAGCGCTCGACGTAGTACGAGCGTGTGGCCAGCTGGGACGCGTAGATGTTGGCCTTCTGGATCTCGTACTGTAAGAGTCTGCGGCGCATGGGGTGCGCCACGATGACGTGCCTGATGTCGTTGGGAGGCTGCGCCGCCGGGAAGGCTGGCGGCTGGTATTGGTAGCCGGGGGCGTCGTCGAACATGTCGGACGAAGGAGCGGGAAACGCGTTGGGGGTACCCGTGCTGGATGAGGAAGGACCACCGCCTTGCGGTGTGGAAGTCTCCAGGGTCAGCTCCCGAGGCAGGTCATCCATGACTTGCTTGGCGGCCTGCAGGCAGTCGACGAGCATGTTCTTCTGGTCTGGCCAGGGGAGAGATGTAATGCCGTACGACAGCTCAACACTAACCAAGCCATTCATCGTCATGTAGATCTTGATGGCCTGGTTGAACCCGGTCAGAAGCGAGATCGTCCCCTCTGGCTGGCCGAGAATTTGATGCTGCAGGATATACTGGTCATCCACCTCTGCGGGAAACTCGGGGTAGGGGTCGCTCGGCGTTGGTGGGGGGAGAGCTATCTCTGTGTGTGTTCCAAGCTGGGAAACAGAACTACAGGTTGACCACGGATCAGCATGCCATGTGCTTCTCGGGTAACACAACACCAGGGTGGGGGATGTCTTACCGAATACCCAGAAACATAACCCAAAAGATACGTTTCCCAATCTGGTCTTTGACATGGTCAAACCCCGGGCCACGATAAGTGACATGAAACATGGAAGAGCCCACGTCAGGGGGTCGGTGATAGCCCAGCTCCCGAATGAAGTTCATGGTCTCGGCCATGAATCTGCGACAAATCTTGTAATGCATGGTGTAGGCAGCAGCCACTCCCAGGAAATAACTCGTAGCAGCATCGTAGACTGTGACCTCGTCCTTGCTTGTGAACAGAGGACCCCGCGCTTCGAGAGCCACGAGACGGCACCTCTCTATCATGGTGATTGCACGGGGGAAAAGGTTGCCGCTGTGCTGTTTCTTGAGGTGGAGCCTCGCCGTCCGAGGGAACGAGGCCACCAGGAAGCCGATCATGCTCGCGAGCAGGGCCAGGAACTCGCAGCTAGTGCGGTCTTCTCGGTTCCGGAACGACTCTCGGAAGGTGGGCTCGTGTGGGAACGGGGTAAGCGGGTGGATGTAGGTGAAGAAGTCGTCCACCAGGAGCTCTAGAACCGGCCACGGGGCGATCAGCTCGGCATCCAGCGCGCTCCCGATCACGGCAGACCCGGGATTCGCAGCGATGGAGATCAGGGTGCTTGCAGCAGTGTGGGGTGACGGGCCCAGGTTCGGTTCCAGTCTTGGTCGCTTGGCTGCCTTCGCGGCTTCGGCGTGCTTATTCGGTGGGCCACGCCGTTTCATTTCTCGATTGAAGGTGCACTCGACTTTCAGGTCGAGGCACTGGCGGCAGGGAGGACCGGACTCGTCACACTACGGGGGGGGGGGGGGGGGGGGGGGGGGGGGGGGGGGCCCGGTAGCTCGCAACTCCCCCCACACCCGGCCGGGGGGCTTGGGTGTCTGGGCTCCATAAAGGGGAGGA